CTAAGCAGAATTATTTAGTTTACCAAATCCCTTGCAACGACTGCGAGGTCAAATACATAGGTCAAAGTAGTCGAACAGGATCAGTCATTTAGGCTACCCGAACACAAAGACCTACCTAGGTCTAAAATTGGTAGATCCCAGTAAGGTATCATCATCATTATCAACATAGGACCAGGCATTACTGCGTAACGGTCCGAGTTGCCACACCTCATATCAGCACATCAAGTAAAAAGGTAGTGAGGTGAAGGATGAAGATAAGTGAATGCAGTCAAAAGAAATATAAAGTATGAGAAGAAAGGAAAGAGGAGTGACAAAATAGTGAGATTCGGTATAGCGTTGTTAAGATGAGGATAATGTGTGTATACATCTGCGCCACTGACTTCGGTTCTGAGCCATATCACCTAGGGTCTCCAACCACTGGTTCCTCTTGTCCCGTGGACCCCAACCACCTAGTCTGCATCGTCCTACATGGCTTAAACCAACAGTCAGAGACTTCATACATTGGTGCCATGTTTTAGTCTGGCCACCTCGGGCCTTTTTCCAGCCTGAACCCACCTCAGCCAACATTGTGTGACGAGGCAATCGGTGACTAGGCATACGTAGTACGTGTCCCAACCATCTCAGTCGATGAAGGTTCACAACCTCGTCGACTGACTTACCTCTTCTCCCTAAAACTCTACACCTAACTTCTGCATTACTCACATGGTGACACCACGGAATACGTCCTATACTACGAAGGCAACGGTGGTCAAACACCTGAAACCTTCTCATGTCTTCCACTTTCAATGGCCATGTTTCACAGCCATACAGTAGAACAGAGCGGACTGCTGTGCAGTACACGCGACCCTTAATAGACAAACGAATATCACGGCGGCGCCATAGGTGGCGCAAATTGGCAAAAGCCAATCGAGCCTTTTGTATCCGTGCAGAAATCTCATCGGCAACTAACCCACCGGGTTGATCCTACTTCCCAGGTAAGTGAAGTGGTCAACACACTCAACCACTTCACTCTCTATTGTTAACCGCGGTACCGCTGAAGACCAGTCCTGGAGCAAAAATTTGCATTTGGGTGGTGAAAATCGCATCCCAAACATTCTCAAATTCCCACTCAAAGTGTTCAGAAGACTCTGCATCTTGTCAGCGTCTTCACCTAACAGGACTATGTCATCTGCATATTCTAGATCTAAGGAAAATTCACCTGTGATCCGGTCAACGTCTTTGTAATTAGGTGACGAGAGGGAAACCTCCATAAGAATATCTATGATAAAATTAAATAAGAATGGGGATAGTGGGCATCCTTGACGGACACCACTTGATGAGTATAGCTCCCTGGACAACTCACCATAGGCTCTAACATGCCCACAAGTGTTCGAGTAGAGAGCTTTCAATAAGGTGATGTACTTACTAGGCACGCCTTTCAGTGACAGACACTGCCATAAGACTTCTCGATCAACGGAGTCAAATGCCGCCTTCAGGTCGAGAAATACAGCTATTGTCGGGCGTCTGTAAGCATGCCTATGTTCCAGGACCTGGCGCAGTGTGAATATTTGGTCGATACATCCACGGCCAGGTCTAAAGCCTGCCTGGTTTTCTCGGGCTTGCTGTTCCCGAGCTCCACTCAGGCGTCGGAGAATTATAGAACTTAGGATCTTAGACACTATGTTTGTCAGGCTGATTCCTCTGTGGTTATCACAAGAGGACTTCTCGCCTTTCTTGAAGACTGGGATGATCAGTGACTTAGACCAGTCGGAGGGGATCGTATTTGATTCCCATATACTGGCTAACACTTCCGTTAGCCTGACTAAGAGAACTCTACCACCATTCTTGTATACCTCAGCAGGTAGTCCGTCTGGTCCTGCTGCCCTTCCCCGTTTCAGGCTACCTACCGCTTTCTCAACTTCTTCTAGTGTTGGGGGACCTGTCTCTATGTCCCATTCAGGGTCCGACTGGATAGCGGGCAGCGCAATGGTGGCTGGAGGCCAGTTAAACTGTTCCTCAAAGTGTTCTGCCCATCGTCCCAGTCGCCTTCCCTGCGAGTGAATCGCCGATCCGTCCTTCTCCGCTATAACCTCACTAACTGTTGTTGACCATTTCCCCCCAGTCTCCTTAATAAGTCTAAATAACTGTCTACTGTTACCGATCGCCGCTGCCTTTTCCATCTCTTTAGCCTTTGCTGCCCACCACTGTTCACGATCGTTGCGCAGACTTTTCGTCAGTCTATTTTTAAGTTGCGCTCGCTCTTCATTGTACTCAGAGCCTGCAGGGATGCATTCACGTGCATCCATTAGTTTGGAAGAAGCTGCTGATATCCACTGGCTCTTTTTAGCCATTATCTTGGAGTCGGCTACAGTCTCCAGTGCTGCTTTTACAGTAGACTGAAGATGGCACCAAGCTTCTTCTGGATGAGTGACAGTCTTTTGTTCCGATAACTGCCTAGCCAACTTCTCACTGAACACGGCTTTGGTGTTTTCGTTGTCCAGCAGAACTCGTAGTGGTTTTGTTGCCAAATTTTTTCTACGTCCATTGAGACGCAGGCATATACGTGCTCGGACCAACGCATGATCGCTGTCCAAACACGTACTCCAGAAGGAGCGGCAGTCTTCCACCGATCCTCTCCAGCGATGACTAATAGCAATGTGGTCTATCTGTGTCCATCGCTGAGTCGAGCTCGGTGGACGCCAGGTCAGACAGTGCCTTTCTTTATGTCTGAAATTTGTGCTGGCTAAAAATAGGCGGTTATCTGAGCATAGTTGTAATAGGCGATCACCGTTATCTGTACGTTCAGCTGGGATTCCGAAAGTGCCACCTAAGTGCCTTTCTGCCTCACTCAGTCTACCCACCTGTGCGTTGAGGTCACCTGCAACAACCACTACGTCCGAACGTTTGGCTTTCGAGAGGAGGTTAGACAGTTTATGGTAGAACTCGTCCTTCACTTCATCCGAACTACAGTCAGTGGGTGCGTAAGCAGAGATTACAAAGAGACAACGGCGAGTCTCACTATTCCTTTTAGTTCTCACTGTGCCGTTCAGCCTCATAGCGCAGAGGCGACTATCAACTGGGATCCAGTCTAGTAGTGAGTTTTCTGCCCTGGTGCTTAATGCTATACCTACACCTGCAAGACCACGAGAGCTAGCTATCGAATCTCCAGAAACTCGAAGGGTGAATTTTGCAGATTCACCAGATTGGTCAGGAGAGGTCAGGTGAATAACCACACTTGGGTCCTGTATGCGTGTCTCACAAACACAGCACACATCCATGCCCGAGTTGCTAGAGTCTTTGCCAACGAAGCCTGTTGGCCAATTTGACGGAGGGTGCGGACATTGAAGGCTCCAATATGTAATTTGGAGCGTGGTTTAAGGAGACCAGGGACACTGTTCTGTGGACTCAGATCGTTGTCGAAGGCTGCAGAGGTAGGAGAAATTGAAGATGATGCAGCATCATTAATTAAGAGACGTGAAGGAAGATTAGAAGGTAATGATGGAGGAGGAGGATAGCAGTCAGAAGAAACTTGGGTGCTGACAGAGTTGTGAGGGCGGTTGACACTTCCCGGCTGCCCACACCGTGGAAGGCTATTTCTTCTTAAGGTACCTGAAAGAGATTTGTGTGACCGCAGAGCCCATCGGACATCTGCTTGAGGCCTGTCACACCCAGCCTTTTGAGTATGATTATTTTGAATTTTTGTATTTTTGGGGCCGGATGGTCGAAAGGAAACGACAAGTGAACCAACACCGCCGGCCCGGCAGACCGTGGGGCGTGGTGGAGTGTGTTATTTTTGGGGCCGACCTTTTCTAACCCCCCCTTCCACTGAGAAGGCAGCATCAGCTTGGCACTGCTGGTCATCCAAGGGAAACACCTTACTGCTGTCACACCCCATCCAGCTAGCAGCAGTACGACTTCGCCCTCAGACCCCCATCATAGTATAGCAATTTACACTATGACGGTAACTGCTTTTCGTCTAACCACTACCCAACAGACCTTTCTGGTATGGTAGGACCTCGAGGGAACAAGCGTTCCACCAGCATAGCTCGTTGGGTCATTGTGATATGCAAGCCCGACCACCACGTCAAGGTAGCAGCTAACGGTCGGGAGTAAGGTATGGAACTTAGAAAACAGGTCAGCCATAGCTATACATGCGATTACACACACCAGCACATAATAGGATGGGACAGGGTGAAAATCCTTAAGACTGAAATAACAGGGTGGAGAGAAAGGTTGATAACTGAATCTTTGTTTATCGAATCAACCAACATCAAATACATGCAGCAAGAGAAGTGACTAAGCACCTGTTCTGATATATGGAAAACCTTGCTATCTATCTCACAAAGAGACGAGGAAATTAGGACTATACAAAGGATATCCCAAAGTTGTGTAGTTATCTTGATATGACTATGGACAATAAATGATGTCCGAAACGTAATCCAGTAAACAATACTGTTCCTTCACTGTATCATAAATCTAATAAATCAATAAAAATGGAATTACATTCTATCACAGTGCACAAGTTTCACTCTTATATATTCATTTTTGTTGGTGCTCAAATTATAATCTTAATTTGAGGGGGAAAACCGCATGTTTTTAGGGCTTTCGATAAATCTTGCTTTTCTATAAATCGGTGTACACGAATCCCTACAAATAAATAGTGTTTTAGTAATACCTTTTACGAGAAATTCTCAAAAGCGGTTTAAGTATTGTGGTTCTCATTTTTGCGAAATGAAACTTACTTATTGCTCTCAACGATGGTGATGTAGTCTTGAAAGCATTTCAAAACCAGAAAACATTCTCCTAGAAAATTGTAAGGAATCTTAGACGTATATGGATTATTCCATAAAAATTAGTGACATGGATCAACCTGTTTGAAAAAATTCCAGTGAATATAATGACGTCAAAATACGTGACACACTGAGTACGCAAAACATATGTGAAAACTGATTGGTGCAATGAGACCGTGATTCATCAAGCGGTAAACAAGCTAAGTGAACTGCAAATATCACCCGACATACCTCAGAGAAAACATAATCTGCTCCGTATTCCAACGAAAGAAGACGCATCGGATGTCCAGAAACACGCACCATTGGTGCTAAAAATGTCTTACCCTTTGCATTGAAAATAGGACGATCCTACAATTTAATAAAAGTTGTCGTGAAATGAAATGAAAATGTAGTATGCTTTGCTTTCATATACCATGAAGATAAATACGAACCCAGGCGGATATATGTGGTTAACTTTTGTGTGTTGAGAAACGGATAGCCAGAACCTGTGAGGAAATATTCGCTTCTTCAAATGGTGTCATAAATGTTTTCTTTTGACAACTTTGGTCCTGTATTGCCACAATTTTTAGTCGCTAATAATGACTAAGATTTTTGGTTCGAAAGTCATAACTTATGAATTAAATGTAGATTTCCCATAGGACATTTTCCCTACTATAATGCAGTGGGAATATGAAATATTCAAATAGAAATTTGTGACGCATTCATTGGTTCCAAGGTAGTCCTCACTAAGTTCCGAACAATCATTGTAAACAATAGAGGACTGGACATATAATTTATCAGTGTTTCATATGAGTCAGTAGTGTACACTTAAGACAATGTGAGGAATCGGATCCAGAACCATCAGGTATTGCGGAGTCCGTTACCACTAAGTAATCAGGACAAAACTCAGCATAGGATTCTGCATGTTACAAGGCTTCTCTATAAAACTGCGAATCATTCATTGTAGACTACCTTTGTAAGCTTCAATGGATTTAGCGTTAATGATTAGCTGATCAGCAAGAAAAATGTCACGAACAACCTTACAACTCTTCGTTGCTTTAAGGTAATTTATGACCTCGTGAGTACATTGTGAGTGTGAATAATGGAACCCAGTTGTTATGCGAAGTCAAAACAGAAACAAAAGGAAAACATCTTACGTTGTGGTTAACAGTCATGTCTCGACACAACAGAAAACCTTGAAAGTTTGAATCGCCACCAACCTTAACACGTCCAACAGTAGTTGTTCAAGCATATCAAACTGCAAGTCTTTACATTCTCACCTCTAGGCCTTTGTGATAGGTTCCTTATTTCCATCTTTGCTCCTCAAATATTATGCAATCTTCACCAATGAGACTGTAAGAAAGTGAGTTCAATCAAATATCCGATACTGATAGTGCCAGAGTAGAATTTTGATAGTTATTGATCTCTCTTGTCTAGTTCCTAGGGCTTAGTTCGAGTTGTTCGGCTCACCCTTGGGTGGACTAGGAAAACTCTCTAATTTATTGCTTTTGGCCTCGATGACGTGGATGTTTAGTGGGTTGTAATTTGTAAAGTAACTGGGAAGCTTCAGGTCTCTGGGAAGGCTAGAGGACTGTCGTGATTCCTGTCTGGGTGGGTGAAGGTAAAGAGGTATAAAAAGAAAAACGAAGAGATAAAAGTAAATGTGAGTTGCCCGAAAGGTAAAAGTAGATAGCATGGGTCTATTTCCTAGAGAAGAACTAGCGGGTAATGCGGGTGTATCGAGGAGAGACACAGTGAGTGGTAGGTAGGGGTGTGTGAAGATGGGCTAGTGGAGTCAGTGACTCTCTGGGTGCTCCCGTAGTAGGCCATGAGAGGTGATGTAACTGTTTGATCGTCTCTTGAATGAGCCAACTGAGGAGGCAATGACGGTATGTTGCGCTAGGGCATTCCATAATACACATACTCTCAACGAGAAAACGTTTTACCTGAGAGTGATATTGGCTCTCCGGTGTGCTATCTTGATGGAGCTTCTCCGTGATGACCACTGTGTTGTTTACGTGGCTTGCCTAATGGGCAATCTTGCAGGCTATAACAAGGTCACCTCTCTTCCTGCAATAACCCAAGGTGAACAGGTTCAGGTGTTTTAGTCCCTCAGGATATGCCTTCCCGCTTGGCCCTACAAATCATTTCGCTGAAGACTCTGGCATTACTTCGAGGAGTTTAGAGTCTCTCTTGAGTGTTGGGGGGCACCTACTTAGGACTTCTAGGTGCAGCCGCAAGCAAGGTTTTAAAACGGTGAGGATGAGTTCGGGGGTGATGGCGCCAAGCTGTCTACGCAGAAAGCGCAAAACGGCGTTCGATCTGGTTGCAAAATCTTTGCAGTTGGAGCAGAGCTTCCAGGTTTCGATTGACCTGTTCCCCAAATCTTTCTTGAAGGGTTAACACAAAAATGTTGAGAAGACCTGCATCTGTTGTTAGAAGTTTAGGATTTGTCCTGGTGCGAACTTGACAGACGCAAAGACCAATCACTAATTATTCGAACTTGTTATATACCCACGAATACGAGACCAAGGAAGAACACGATAGCGTAGTCGGATGGAATAGTATATTTGGATGGTTATGCCAAAATACCGATGCGTTCCAACTAACTGGCTAGAGAGTCGAATACGAGCAATGCAACGTAACACGACAGCGTGCCAAATGGCGAGGATGCTTGACCGGGTGCCTTCAGCTTAGCGAGTCCAGTTAAACTATCAAGGTCAGCATCAATGTCGAAGTCGTCAAACCCTAGGCTATTGATTTTGGGGAAGTGTATGACGCTACAGATCACTCCCCCCTAGTGGGTTCGTGAGGACCCTAAGACGATACCAGCCGGAAGTAAAAACCCAGTGGTTTCTCCACTGGTAAAACTCTTCCGATGGGCTCACTGCGTGAGGTGGCCCCTGGTTGTCTGAACCTTATTCTAGGGTGTCGTGGCGATTAAATAAATAAAATACAATAAATGAAATTGTACGTCGGTCGCGGTCATCTGTTCCTTTCGACGTTCCGTCCAGTGCTCGTTGCACCTGGAATATAAATAAAAGTCTTTAATACCACGAAAACGTTGCGTAAAAATGGGAATTATTTATATATAAACGTGTCGAAAAAAAAAATTTACGCTTATCTTCGCCGTTTTTTTAGTTTTTATTACATGGTAAATAAAAATTGATATAAAAAGGCAAAGTGTACGAGGGTTTGTGCCGGTAAATAAGAAAAATAGTGCCTCGAAAAAAAAAAATGGTTGGCACACACACAGCTAAGTTGAATATGACTTCAGGTACTCTGGGAACCTGACGGTTCGACCTGATCGTGTTTTTTGTTGCGCCGCTGGTTGTTGCAGCTGTGCATTACCAGGCACATCGTCGAGAATTTCGATAATTGAGTCATCCGTCGGTCGGATGTAGCGAGCTGAAACGTCACTTACAATGGGGTTGCCTTCGAAATAAGCTGGTTTCAAACGGTCGATACTGACAGTATCTTCACGTCCGTCTCGCTCAATTACATAGAATTTCTCATGTCGCTTAATCACTTTGAACGGCCCGTCGTAGGGTGGTTCAAGTGGTCGACGAACAGCGTCGTGGCGAACAAACACGTGTGATGTCTTCTGTAAACTGGGGTGGACGAAAACATCAGTCGTTTGCGGTCTAATCGGAGAAGGCCTAACTGAACGCATTGCGTTTGTAAGCCTAGTCACGTAAGATGCCCTGTCGGAAACATGTTTGAAAGTTGAAGGGGAAACAAACTCACCTGGTAGGCGAAGAGTGGTCCCATAGACGAGTTCTGCAGGAGTGCATCCAGCATCAACTTTCAACGCGTTACGAATACCTAGTAGGACTAGAGGCAGAGCCTCGGTCCACTGAGGTATGTTTGTAGCTGAAAGGGAAGCTTTCAGCTGTCGATGGAAACGCTCTACCATGCCATTTGCTTGTGGATGGTAGGCTGTCGTTCGGAACCGAGTGCAACCTAAAAGTGCCGTTAGAGCGTGAAATAGTCCGCACTCAAATTGGCGCCCACGGTCGGTTGTGACGTAGGATGGACATCCGAAGTTCGCGATCCATCTTTCGACGAAAACACGAGCAACTGTTTCGGCAGTAATATCTTTAATGGGTACTGCTTCCGGCCATCGTGTGAAACGATCAACACAGGTGAAAAGGTAGGTACATCCATTAGATTCTGGTAGGGGTCCTACAATATCTATATGGACGTGGTCGAAACGCATGTCTGGGGCTAGAAATGAGCCTAAAGGGCTTTTCGTGTGTCGCGTGACTTTACACTTTTGACAAGCTAAGCACGACTGGGCCCACTCCTTAACGTCTTTGTTCATCCCAGGCCAGCAGAAACGTTGTGCGATAAGCCTAATGGTGGCTCGTACACCTGGATGAGAGAGTTTGTGCAACGTATTGAAGACGTTGCGTCGACAACTCTTCGGAACTATTGGGCGTGGTTGACTAGCAGAGACATCGCACAAAATTGCATCCTTGTCTGATCCAACAGGACAAAGTCGCAGTTTGAGAGTTGTGGACGACAACTCATGATGCAGCTCAAGGTCTTCCTTTTGACGCCGAGCTAGTTCAACGAGATCAATACCCTCGATATAGTTTATCGAAGCTATTCGAGATAGTGCGTCGGCTGCGGAGTTGTTTGCTCCAGAAATGTGGCGGATGTCTGACGTGAACTGGGAAATGTAATCCAGCTGTCGCGACTCACGAGGGGAGTATTTGTCAGACGCCGAGCTGAGGGAAAACGTTAACGGTTTGTGGTCTGTGAAAATAATGAAATCACGACCTTCCACAGAATGTCGAAAATGGCGTACAGAACAGTACATGGCTAGGAGTTCCCTACCAAATGTACTGTATCTTGTTTCCGCGTCTTGCAGCCGCCTCGAGAAAAAGGCTAACGGTTGCCACTGGTTGTCAGTCAACTGTTGCAAAACTGCTCCAATTGCTGAATCAGATGCATCAACAGCAATACTCAGAGGAGCATTGGGGTCATGATGCATAAGCATGGTTGCGTTCGAAATGGCTTCCTTGACTTTGGAGAAAGCAAGTCTAGCCGCGTTGTCCAGAGACACGAACTTCGCAGTTCCTCGAAGTAGATCTGTGAGTGGTCTCATGACAGAGGCACAGTTAGGGATAAACCTTCGGTAATAACTTACCAGGCCATTGAAAGTGCGGAGATGTTTCACAGTGGTCGGCTCTGGATAGTTTGTGATAGCCGCCACTTTATCTCTCAATGGGCGTATACCTTTGTTGTCAATGGTATGCCCAAGGAAGCTGAGTGATTCAACTCCTATTTCACACTTCTGTAAGTTAACTGTGATGCCATGTTTTTTGAGTCTTTCGAATGCGAGGTCCAAATGTTTAAGGTGTGTTTCCTTATCTGGACTCGCAATTAGACAGTCATCGATGTAGACATGAACAAAATTCAGACCACGGAAGACGTCGTCCATAAAGCGTTGGAATGTTTGTGCTGCATTCCGAAGACCAAAAGGCATGCGCAGGAATTCAAACAGGCCAAAAGGAGTAATAATGGCTGTTTTCGCGATATCTTCTGCTGCCATAGGTATCTGGTTGTACGCTTTGACTAAGTCGATTTTCGAGAAAATGTTCATGCCGCATAAGGTTGCGGTCAAGTCGTAAACGTGGGGTATAGGGTAGCAGTCCGGAGTTGTTTTGGCGTTAAGCCTTCGGTAATCACCGGTCGGACGCCAGTCGTTGCTATCCTTTTTGGGCACCATGTGCAATGGCGATGCCCAAGGACTGTTTGACGGTCTGATAATGCCCAGTTCGAGCATATGGTCGAATTCATTTTTCGCCGTTTGCAGCTTATCGGGGGCTAAACGGCGAGCTTTGGATGCCACAGGTGGACCTGTGGTTGTGACGTGATGCATAACATTGCTGGTTATGCACGGAAGAGTGTGTTTCGGTTGTTGTAACTCTGGATATTTCTCCAGAACTGCCTGGTAGGACGCGTCGCCTGATTGTTTAGTCCTAACGATGGCTAAACTCGGACCTACATAGGTGGTGCCGCCAATAGATAACTTTGTGTTGTTATCTATCAGTCGTCGACGGCGAGCATCTACGAGTAGATCGTAATGGTTTAGCAAATCTATGCCAATGATGGGCATAGAGACGTCTGCCAGGAGGAAATCCAGTGAATAGGTTTGCGTAAACCTAAGTTGAGGTAGGCATACCGTCTCCCGAATGTCGCGATTGCCTTGCCGTTG